AAACCGGGTCAAATAGCTCGCCCTTCTTCATTGCCGATAAATGAGTACCACTTTGTGGAAAGGAAATAGAAGACTACACATCAATGCTTCACACATAGCTGCTGTCAACTCTGCTTTTCAAATGCGCTCTGCATTACAATGATGTGGAAATGGAGATAGCGCTTCGCAACTAACTTCATGAAAAGGAGGCCAGAAATGACCGACAGGCATTCCAGCGGTTATCAAATTCGTTTTTGTCTGCTGAATTGGTGAGTCTTGAGCAACAGCTTGTTATTTATACAATAAATATAATTTTTCTATCTACTAGATGCACAGCCTGAACATCATTTCTTTTACAAAGCGGATTGAAGAAGACAAACCTTATCAGAGGTACAAACGTGTCATCCATTTAATCTCGGTCATAGGACTGTAACTAATTCACTACCTAGAGAAAGATTTTTAAAGCGCTGACGTCGTTACGTACTGAATCATGCTAACAAATTTTAGAAATATCTATTAATCACATTTCTCGCTAGGAGCTGACGTACGTCTCATATCGTGTGTGCTCAATCCAGCAGTTTCGAAAGTTACGCAGCTAAAATTCGAGCTTTTGAGATAGAGTTTCTGGTCCAGTTTGCTGTCAATAAAGTTTTATTTCATTTTTTACTGTCATCCCTTATCTCCCAGGATGGCCAAGAATAACCCTGAGGAAAGTGTTTCGAGGAAATCTGCTCCAAACTCGGATGATCTTCTCTTGAACCTAGATCAGGAATGCTGGAGACTTTGTGTGACGCGTCTACCTACATGACCTGAAAGTATAAGCGCCATCGAGACTGACTGACTGCCATCCTCTACGTTAAAGCCTAAGTAAATAGAATATCACCAGTTAAAAAGAGGCTTAATTGTACACAAACGATCGCGTCAAAAGACGGACCAAATTTCAACTGGACCAGCCAGCTTGCCTCAATCAAAATGGTTCTACAATTGAAGTTAATCTGAGGGATGTCAAACCATTTTGATTCAAACTACGGGAGTTAAATTATAATGTGGATAAGAGCTGGCAAGTCTATTCGAAACCTTGTCCACTCTGTATAACCGATTTTAACCGATACGATTTCCAAAGCAGCAAGCCGTATAGGACAAAAGTAACTCTTCATACTATATTACAGTTTACTATATTAATAAAAAGTATTACCATATTTACACATCAAGCTCAACCACGAACTTACGCGTTTACTACACACACTGCTGGTTATTGATACAAACGTGGAAGCAACAGAAAATGTTATTTTGTGACCGGCTGTATCAAAAATTAGCAGTTTTGCTAGTAAACCAACAAGATCAGTGTTTTTTATTTATTAATGTGCCTGCTGATAATTCTAGTTCCTGTCCGAACAGGATTTTACTCTGCCGAGTGCATGATGAGGTTTCGTGTCCATGGACTGGAAGTTAAGAAACACCAAAGATCTGTGAAATGCTTCAATGGCCCTCTACACGATTACAAGCAAATGGACGGAGCACCTGTGCCCGAGGAAATCCAGAAATTAAAGAAAACGTTAATATCATATTAACTTTTTCAATATAAATTTACAACTTACAAGAGGCAATGACAAAGATTATTACAGAGTAATTCGTTCGTGCGTTGTTAGTAACTGTGAAAAAATAGCATAAACCTGTTTACCAATAGTTTATTGGCCTTCTGGCTCCAAAACTATCGACTACTGTGGAGGACCAACTACGTTCACGAAACCTCACAATCAATCTTCATAGAAAAAGACCCGTGCCGAAATACAAGAATTGGGTCATCAAACTGAGCAGAGTATTTTTTGCGCCACGTATAAAAACCGTGTTTAACGCCATTTTTTCAACAAAGACTATGTTGACTCTAAAACCTGCCAACATAGAATTGCCACTAATCTATTTCAACTTTCATGAACAAAATTGAAGCTCGTCCTACCACTGCAATGCAGGTGCCATCAAACGCCCACGCGAGCGAGGTCACAGCGTAGAAATTTTTGATTGCAATCGTTTTAACGTCATTCCATGCTTTCTTCCTTGTGTCCCGTTCGAATACACGGATTCTAAGAAGATGAACAACTAATGGAATCACGCGTATAAACGATTCCTTTTTGACTGACCTGTCATAACTACCGATGACAAAGGTTGACTGACCAATCGGGCAGATCGCCCCCGCACTGAACTCGCGTTCTTCCTCGTCCACGCTGAAATCGTACTGCTGCTGCACCTGACCGTCATACCCGTACACCAAAACGCGTTTGTCACTACCAGCCGCAACGACGGTACTTCTTGAACATAATAGCACCTGCGGGCAACACGTATGAGTGCAGATCTTTTCCTGAAATTATTGTACCACGTACAACCAGATTATTAATACCATGTACCAGTTATGAACATAATGATTTTCTGAAATCACTTGAAATTCTGATTATTCTTATGTATACGCTAATGACACGTGACTAGGAACTTGAAGCAAAGCGTTGACCAAATCGTTAAAGCGTAGAAACTGTTCGAGGACCTCAACAAGGTAAAAATCGGTAAAAAAGTAAATTACCGATTCAATGGTTCTACACAAGAAAACAGACCACTATAAAGGCAGATATTTAAGTAAAGCTGCTGGGTCCATTCTCAGAATAAACAATTTGCACCCTTCTGTAGAGAAACACTGAAGCGGCAGTTATTTAAAAAATAGAACTGAAATGAGTTTTAGAAATGAAAAGTAAAGAGGTTTCATTTTGCATTTGAAGAGCAAACTATTTTCACAGATTCGCAAAAACAGTTTTCAAATGCCTGATTTCTTCGTTTAGCGAAAATTATGAATTATACTATTGCGAGTTTCCTCGTATGTCCGAGAACTATTAGTATTCTGAATATGAACGCAATCAACTGACATTCATCGCATCAGCCTCTAAAATTCTTGAAAATAACGAACAGTCTTAGCTGGCATGACACTATAGACTGAAAGAGGTTAACACAGTTACCAATATAGTCATGAAGTGCAGAGGTCAACAATGAAAGCTGGACAATAAGCGCAAAACATCACAGAATGGAAATGCTTACTTGAACGTCCACATCATGGTCAATAAAATCATAAACTTTCATGATACAGTTATTTTTATCAGATGCATTTTGACGTGGTACGGTTGGCACATCCCCAAACAATCATGGCAATCTCCTGTGCAAAAAAAGGAGTGTTCCATCAAAGTAAAAGCTGCTCTGCTAGGACATCAGATCAACTGTTCGTGTGGAGTGAACTGCATTGGATAAGCGGGTAGCAGACTGAAAAACCGGATCACTGAATATATGGTTGTTTCACCAGAAATGCTGTGCCATCGCGAAGCACAGTAGAAGAATTATTTTACACAATTTGATGTAAACAGAAGCATGTACATGCCGAAAAATAAAGATCTTAGAAACAGTCAGAGTTGAACGGCAAAAAGCAAGATTAACAGACAGAAAGAAACTTTCAAGATCACTCCAACATGGTGTATTACATGATTAAACAATCAATAGATGCATGGTACTTGAACTCGCATCTCTTGCGTTATAAAGTCATCCACATACTCGTACACCTTGCCTTATCACCAAAACGTTCTAAATCTACCAACAAAGGCCACGAACATGCATAAAAACGGAGATTGCCATCCGCAGAATAGCAGGTGGATAAATACAATAACACTGATGGGCTGAAAGTCTCTGCTATATGCAAGATTATTGCGAATTTTGCTTCAGATTAAACAGTGGTTTCGCGGCCCTTGAAAAGGAACCACAGTATTTTGAATAATTAAATGAAAAACCTGTTAAAGTAACGTAACAGTGGCAATTTTTAATAGAAAATCAGTGAAGAGAACCGTTCGAAAAGTTATATGGAAGAATATCCACTAATTTGAAAATAGCAAGTGCGAGTAATTAAAGCCCCCACCCCATAATGATTTATGAGGTAATCAGGGAAGAAACACGCGATAATCGTTGAATAACTGGAATGGCAGTGTTCATGAAGTGGACATGCCAGGTTTCGCAAACATCGCTAAGACCATTTCGTCATATAAACTACATCTGATAGCTAAACTCAATTCTGCCAATTAGCGTAAATTAAACTGAAAATCTTTTAAAAGTATTAAATTAAAACGAGCGAACCTGTGTTTTTGGGTTACCATCACTGGCAAGTGATATCTTCATCACTGTTCCATCAGCATGCGCGGAGAAAACCGTTTTCTTTTCTGGACTAAAACGTGAAAGGTTATTAACCTTCACTGTCATCTCTATTTAAATGACATGGAAATCGTAATTTTGTATCGAATGTTCTATAACAACTCTGACCAGCTTATCTTGGAACAGAAACAAAATATTTATTTGGTTACAATACAATACAAATACAATCTGGTTGCACGGATTTATGGACAGTCGTGCGCCCATTAACACCTAGCCAAAGAATTATCCAAATCTCATGTCCCACGAAAAAAAGTAAATCGTATGAGGGTAAACAGTCACTACTGGTGACGAGTAAGATACTGCTGAAACAAATAAAATGCTGTAAGATGACCAAGGCATTTACAGTGCTTATATACTGTGTAGTTGCAGAATGCTTAAATAACAGGCCAAGTATTTAAAGGCAAAAAGGCGGTTGCAAATAGCTAAAACTGGATGATACCGATAAAGGAAAAGGAAGGAAAGGATTATTTTAACCGTCAGAAGACTGATTTTCTTTCTAGTTCCATGAAAAATCAGTGACTGGCAATTTTTTACACTAAGTGTGTGGTCGGCTGCTGATCTCCGTTTCTGTGACATCAGTCAGGAGTGCTTCATTTTTATAACAGTGTGGATAGCATCCATCTCGCATGCATACTGTGTAGTCTCCTATCCTTTCACACACAGTTGTACTCATTTAAAGCCTTTGAAGGAACAAGGGAGAGGGAACCCACCGGTTTGCTCGAACAAATGACCTCTGTTCTGATTTAGACGCTTTGCCGACTAAGCAACCCGTTCATAAATTACAATAACGGTATAGAAAACTAAGAACCAAGCTGTTTTTGCCTGCTAATTAAGCAACAGTAACTTTGCATATTGCAGAACCACACTGTCCTCCTAAATAATTTAGAGAAGATAATACGAAATCTTGAGCAGCATAGGTGATAAATTAACTGTCAGTTATTACAGAGAAAAAAATTCATGATTCGGTAATGCAGTGATTATGGCTCGGTTGACGACGGACATTATTTCGCAACTGGTTTGGGGATTCTGACCGATTACCACAACTTAACGTCCAGTAGCATATTTTTCGAAAATTGGTATGCACATGTCAGTCACATTGCATGCTGTCATAAAAAATGTGGTATTTTCTAGAACTGTCCGTATCAGCAGATGACTTGACAGCAGGACCTTCATAGAATTGTCACGGCATTGCGGATGCTCATTTCCCCACTTAGTTAACCCAGGATTTTCTAAGAACAGTCGATCACATTGATTATGAGTCAGTAAATATCCTCGCCTCCAAGAAGTCCATCACGATAACGATTCCCTTCCGAAACAAAAGGAATAAGAGTATTTTTGCTCACAGAATAAAATGCTACAACGGTCTAATCCCTCAGTCGCTCAGTCATTTATAGCCTGTTCAATAATTCATTCACTTTTTCCCAACTCCATTCATTCGTTCGTTTTCGAAGTCCGCTATACTTTTCTAGTTAGGAAAGTAGCAGCTTCAGAAACTGGGTCTTTTATCAGAGAAGTTCAGCAACAATATGCCTCGAAGATTGCTGCGATGTCTCTAATCTCAGTTTTTAGTAAAAGGATAAGCATCATGTTTTGTTGCTTTGCTTGAATTTTCCGTAACCGGGGAGCACCTGAGACAGACACAGGATAGTGTCTAATCCTAGTCACTCCTTTACCTGAGAACGCCTTCTTCATGAGTTACAACACCATCGTTCAAACTTTTCACTGCTCAAGCCGTACTTAATCTCTGCATGCAATCATAGCGGCTCTTCTGTCAAATTATTCCGCTCCCTTGTCACAGCAGATTCCACTCTTGCATGAACTGTTCTGGAGCATCTGCCTTCAGAGCTTTGCGAATTTTCATTTTTTAAGTTATACATTTGTTATACATTTCTTTAAATTGACGTTTATATTTTCCTTTAATTTTTAATCAGCTATCAATTGGATGAAGACGAATTGC